ATAGAAGATGAACTGCACTTTGTTATGAAATGTCCACAATATAAAGTAATACGCCAACAAATCATACAAGACATTATATTTCCACAAGAAACCTAGGATGATCTTCAGAAATTTAATTTTTTGATAACTTCAAAAGATGATGTAATAATAAAAAAGATTGGGAACTATATTCATAATGCATTTCAATCAAGAAATAAAAATGCCATTTGATATGTAACACTTGCTTTATCTTTTTTAACAACTAACTTTCTTTTTGTATAGTAGTAGTTATCACAACTAATCTTTATTGCTATTAACTGATAGAAACATTGTATTTCTAAGGATGCAATAAAGTTATTATTATTATTATATAAATACAGTTACATACATCATAATACCACAGTCCTCTTCTAGTACATTGTGAGAAACAAACAAACATAAGTGGGATTTAAACACAAATATTTTGAGTGAAATGTAATTGAGCCATGAGACTCAAAACATGAGACTCGTTATTTGGTAAAATGACAAGAACATTGATTGATTCATGAGGTTTGTTTAGGCTCACCGAATCTGAGACACATGTGAAGACTACCTACGTCTGTGAAACGTTTAGGAAGAAACAAGTAAATCAATCAGAATACTCTAGACAAATCAGATGATTTAAAAACACAAAACACGAGAAGATAATCTCTGTGGGCTGTAGTCAAGAAGTATTAACAAAGATAATTAACAAATTCAGAATTTAGTTGATATTTGATATCACATTCTACTGTAAAGTTGTGATGTTGTAACGGATGTCTCACTTCTGGGCAGAATCATGGTTATTGAAGAAAAGGGACACAAGTATGGATCATAAATTCAGATATTGTCTATACAACTTAATTCATGGAGAAGGCACAAAAACTGCTTTAACAGAACACATGCATTTGTAATTCTTTGTAAAATGGGATGGTAACTCTCAGTTTATCGTTACTATGAGAGATAAAAAATATAAGTTTGGAACCAATCTTCTGTCAAAGAGCAGGTGGGAACTTTAGATTTCTGAGGGAAACAAAAATTGTATATATGACTTATAAAAACTTGTTGGACATCCTTTATGACATCACTTTAATGTGGTATGTGACATCTCTAGTCACTTATTTTGATCACTACTTTTTATATATGTAACCACGCAATGTTACCATAAAAAAGATTCCAAATAGCAGTCATTTTGGTAGACAAGATACAAACTTGCATACACCTTGTAGAAAAACAGTGACATTACATCATACATATATGCAATGTTGCCAGGATCTTTCAATAAAAAATAGTGGAAAAAAAAATGTTTTAAGAAAGAGTACTGAGCAACCTAACCTAACATAACCATTTATGTAACTTTTCAAACCAACACAGTGAATGCTCAGACAATTTGTTCAAATATTTCCCAACTGCACCTGGTACATGGATAATACATGATTCATAATAAATTGACACGTTTTTTTTTGGTGTGTGCATAATGTTTGGTGGCATATGGACCAGAATACACGACCGAATCCTAATATCGGCTGTCTTTTTACGTAGTCAGTGATTTTAGGTGATAGACAGACAGGGGGATTATAGTCACATCAGACAAACTCAAATAAATACACAGTTCAGCAACATGTGTTCTGGACCATTTTATTAGTGAAAACAGTCTATACATGTTTATTGAACTGTCTTCATCAATATTTATTCAACTCTTACAATTTATCCCATTCAAGACAAAAAAAAATAAATTGCAACAAAAAAAATGTCACAGGCTTCACTTCAATGTGTTTACAAAGCAAGATATAAGTAAGCATGGTATTGTTTATACCAGCTTCTTTCCACTATAATCCTACTCAACAACACAAAAATATACTCACAACAGTCTGAACGTGAATAGGCTTAATCCCACAAGCTTAGCATATTATATTGTCTGACAGAGAAATAAACTAAAATGCACATCTACAGTGAATATTATCAATATGGCAATTTGAAATTTACAGTGAAACTTGTGTACACAGGCATACAGTACCATGCAGGGTTCATAATAAATCAAAATTTTAAAGTAGTTGAATTAACCATTCCACCACCAGTTCCCTCTTTTTATCACAAATTCACAAAATAGTCTATTTTATAGTCTGCACTTTTCTTCAGAAGATAAGGACAAAAATAGCCAATTTTTTGGAGTGAAAACTGAAAATTGTGTCTCTGGCTCAAAAATTAGGATCCATTTCCAGAAATATTGAAGAATTTAAGAAAAGAGTACAACAAAATTTGGGTGAGAAAGTCAAAAGCCAAAAGGAAGGCTGAAATGTTTTAAATATCTCCAATGAAATACTGTCTCATTTTTGAACAAATACATTTTTTAGAATAGTAAAAAATGAATAATTTTTATACCAAACTAGAAACGTAATTTTTTTTTGTCAAATGAACAGATAACTTTTAATTTCAACCACTGTCAGAATTGTACATTTTACTAATGATTGGAGCTAAATCTAGACAAGTTTTTCATTGTTTTATTTTAAAAAATCATTGCTAAGCATAATTAATGTAATCCTGTTAATAAATTCATGAGTCAGGTAAAATCTTAAAATTTTGTAAGTACTGAAAAGAAGATTTCACTGAGGTCATTATCACATCATTATCCTTTGTGAAACTTGTGAATGCATCACAGAGGTCAAGAGAAAAAATGTAAGAACTGACAAGACACAAGGACATACTAGTTAGACTATACATTACCAAAATGAACATGCAGTCAACAGCTGGTAATACAATTATACAACTGTTAAACAATTAAATGAGAGGTAATGCTAAATAAAAGATTACATTTTCCCTTTTGGATGTTGTGGTTCCTCAACTTCTGCTTGTTATACGTAAACCAGAAAATCTCATTGAAAATTGCACCCTTTATCTGCCCCCATACTTCACTGTACTTTACCATGTTACTGAACCAAGCTCCAGTCAACTATGTTCAAATGGAATTTAAATCGAAAATTTATAGCCTGATTTTTTCCAGACTACTTTTCCAGATTTTTTTTATCTGCCTTCATTCTTTTTATTGAAATATATTTGGACTGTGAATGATCCCAGAAGTTTCATTCAATTAACTATGCAACAAAGAAATATTGAACAAGAGAGCCCAACAAAAATTGTGAGTATTTACTTTGTAACTCCATCATGTAGATCTAAAATAGAAATAATATCCAAAATACAGTGAATGTAGATGTTGTTGCAAATAAAAAACATTTTTATTTTTACTGTATGATTACTGTATATTTTTTTGCTGACATTAACTTTAATTATTCATCAAAGGTGTGACAAGAAAATCTCAGCATTAATTAATATGTCACATTTCCAATAAAAAATAATCTTAATATACATAAGTACCTGTAATTGAGTTTGAAAAATATGAACATAAATGGCCAGAACATGCAACAACTGCAT